CCTAACGCTCCCCTGACACAACTTCAGGCCATTCCCTCTGGTCCTGTCACTGGTCACAGAGATCAGTGCTGTCGCTGCACTGCCCCGTGAGAGGAGGTTGCATACAGTGATGAGCTTTGTCCTCAGTCTCCTCCAGGCTGAACAGCCAAAGTGACTCCAGCTGTTTTCCTTGAGGCACCTCACCGTGTTCACTGCCCTCCTTTGGGCATTCCTCACTTGAAAATTAATTTCCCTGCATTCCTGTTTTGAGTTTTTAAAATAAATTACTCTGTAAGAACAACTAACCTGTGTAACTGCCAAGAATAACCATCATCTCTGAGAGCACCTCAGTGTCCCTTTCATACCTGTAAAATCACTTCCGACAGGACATCCCAGTGAGTCAGCCTCACCTCAATCCCGGGAAAGGTGATGGAATGCCTCATTCTGGAGGCCATCTCTGTCCACATGGAGGACAAGGAGATCAGGAGTAGTCAGCATGAATTCACTAAAGGCAAATGATGTTTGACCAACCTGATTGCCTACTGTGATGCAACCTCTACCTGGATAGATGAGTGGAGAGCAGTGGACATTGTCTACCTTGACTTCAGCAGGGCTTTCTAAACTGTCTCTTAGCATCCTCAAAGGCAAACTCAGGAACGTGGACTGGATGAGAGGACAGTGAGGTGGACTGAGAACTGGCTGAGTGGTGGGTCCCAGAGGGGCATAATCAGTGGCACAGGGGGTAGTTGGAGGCTGTCAACAATGGTGTCCCCCAGCGTTCTGTATTGGGCCCAGTATTGTCTAACTTATTTATCCATGACTTGGATGAGGGGACAAAGTTGCCTCCTCAGCAAGTTCTCTGATGACACAAAGCAGGAAGGATTGACCAATACCTGAGTGTTGTGCTGTCCCTCAGAGGGACCTTGGCAGGTTGGAGAGACAGGTAGTGAAGAATCACCTGAAATTCAACAAGGACAAGTGCAGGTCCTGTACCTAGGGAGAAATAACCCTGAGCACCAGTACAGGCTAGGGCTGACCTGCTGGAAGGCAGCTCTGTGGAGAAGTCCCTGGGGATTCTTGTGGACAAAAAGCTGTCCATAAGCCAGCAGTGTGACTTTGTGGCCAAGAAGGCAAATAGTATCCTGGGATGCATTAGGAAGAGCATTGCCAGCAGGACAGGGTTGTTGATCCTGCCCCGCTGCTCAGCCCTGGGGAGGCACATCTGGAGAGCTGTGTCCAGTTCTGGGCTCCTCAGGACAAGAGGGACATGGAGCTCCTACAACAGGTCCAGGGAAGGCTGCAAAGATGATGAGGCGACTGGAGCATTTCTCTCATGAGGAAAGGCTGAGGGAACTGAGCCTGTTCAGCATCAGGACGAGACAACTGAAAAGGATCTCATCAATGTCCACAAGTGCCTGAAGGGAGATGTCAGAGGTTGGATCAGGCTCTGCTCAGCGGTGCTGAGCAACAGAACAAGAGGCAACAGTCAGGAACTGATGCACAGGAAGTTCCACCTGAATACAAGAAAGAACTTCTTTACTGTGCACTGGAACAGATTGCCCAGAGAGACTGTGGATTCTCCCTCAGTGGAGATATTCCAGAACCATCTGGATGCAATCCTGCATCATCCTGTGCTCTAGGATGGCCTTGCTTGGGCAAGGAGGTTGGACCACATGACCCACTTTGGTTCCTTCCAGCCTGACCCACTCTGGAATCTCAATCAGTAGAAAAATAACATGACTCCATTAGGTTGTGAGTTTGCAAATGGCTAATTAGAAAAATATTTTAATGGTGCAGACATCATATACATTTGATTGCCAGTTAGCCATCAACAGATGGTCAGTGTCTTGTGTGTTGTGTCAACCTTGCCACCCATCATATGGGACTTTATTAAAGCTATTAGTATACAATAATTTTTAATAATAAGGAAATGCCTTTATTGTGAATATAATACTTCATTCTTCAACAGTGGCCAACAAACTATCTTCTATACTTATTCTGGGCCTCCACGCTGTAAGAGAAAGGCATAGAGTTAAACATATTCCACCAACAGAACGTAAAATTGGGATCAAATCCTCCTTTGCACTATCATAGTCCAACAAAGAGAGTTCTAGTACTAATTTCTGATTTAAATAGTGATTTTTAATGTATATAAGAACATGCACAGAGCATAAATAACAGCATCTACCAGTCACAGCTCCATGTTTTCAAGGAGAAATAAAAAAAACCTCAACACATGCAACCCACAGCTACAGCTGCTTCCACTTCTCCCTCCCTGAGGAAATGTGTCTCTTACCTGAGCAAGGTCAGACAAGCACAGTGGTAGCCAACACAAGTTTTAAAATTACTTTCACCACCCATGTTCCAAAGGGCAAAGTACAGACAAAGCCAAGATGAGCCATTACAATCTCTACCAGAAATCAGAAAGGTGTCCAGTGCATTATTTCCCTGACAGAATTATTTTACAACTTACCTCACTGTTGGAAAGTTTATGCTAGAGGTCAGGAAGTGTATTACTATGGGAAATAATTGGGTTTATTTCTACTTGGAACAGCCCATCCATGTACAAGCAGGAAAACTGATTTCCTCCACTAGCATGACCATGCTGTACACATCATTTAACGTCTTGCAAGCATCTTGTAATCTCAAACCCACAACCACCTCACAAATTCTTTACTGTTTTGTGCATTCTGCCTGTCTAAACACCAGTGTTTACCACTGAGGGTGAGTACAGAGCAGAAGGAGGTTTTCCTTGCCATTCATGCACAATACTGTATTTGCAAATGTTGCAGAAAATGTTTATATCATGTTTAATAAAATCATAGAATCAACTGGGTTGGAAAAGACCTCCAAGATCATCAAGTCCAACCCTATTGTGGTTACCAAACTATGGCACTAAGTGCCACATCCAGTCTCATCTTACAAACCTCCAGGGTCGGTGACTCCACCACCTCCCTATGTTACCACTACTAGAAATATAAGAGTTAAATAATTTAGAAAACTAGTTTGAGAAATAGTTTAGACTTTGATCACCTGGTAACAGCTTTTGCTGGTGTAAGAACAGACTCCTGTGCTCCTGCCTGGGTCAAATTACACATTAAACAGCTGCTTTAGAACAGGTAGTGATGGTGATTAGCATAAGCTGTGGCTATCACTACCTTACCTGTACGTCTGTTTTAACCCATCTCTCTCTACTCAGCAACAACACAAGCTGCTACTCACTGAGAATTGGGGATGTTCTGTATTATGAATTTGTAGCTTGGGTATCGCACATCAAAGCCACTAAAGCTCAGAGCATACACTTGCCATGAATTGCTGTGAAATAATTTAATAAAAAAATGCAATCAAGAATTACAAGAAGGTGCAGAAATAAGCCAAGGAAGAAAACTTACTTGAATGAATTCAATCTCTTCATCCGACATGAGTTTCCTCCTGTATTTCTGAGGTAAGGTTCTTGCTAGCTCATAAGTGTCTGGTGTACCTTGTGCTCTACTGATAGGCGAAATGTTTTGAAAGGCTGGGGATCTGCCTCCTACAGACTCCTGTGCTCCTGAAGCATGGAGAGATGGCACACTTGCTTGTAGAGACTCCTGTACTGAAACCCAGATTGCAAAACCATTCAGAGAAGTTATCACCAGGCTGTTAAACTACTAAGCAGCCAATAATCACGGAATTTAAGGGCTGGAGTGGACCTTACAGATCATCTAGGCCCAACCCCTGCCCTGGGCAGGGACACCTCCCACCAGAGCAGGTTGCTCAAGGCTCAGCCAACCTGGCTGTGAACACTGCTCATCCCTGGGCAACCTGTGCCAGTGTCTCACCACCCTCACAGGAAAAACTTCTTTCTCATATCTAGCCTAAACTTTCCCTCCTTCAGTTTGAACCCATTACCCCTTGTCCTATCACTGCTGTTCCTAACACAGAGTCCCTCTCTGGCCCCCTTGTAGCCCCTTCAGATATTAAAAAGTTGCTCTGAGGTCTCCACGCAGTCTTCTCCAGGCTGAACAGCCTCAACTCCCTCAGCCTGTCTTCATAGGGGAGATGCTCCAGTCCTCTTAGCAACTTTGTGGCCTCCTCTGGACTTGCTCCATCAGTTCCATGTCCTTCTTATGTTGAGGACACCAGAACTGCAATAACAGCTACCACTGCTTGGAAATCTTATTATAACAAACACATAGAAAAATTAAGTCACTCTACTTCTCACAACCTGTTTTTGTTGTTGTCCAATGTATCAAGTGCAGAATCTGAAAGTTCTGACAGTAAAAGCATGTTAGAGTGGCAGAAACATTGATGCAGAAACAGAAGATACATCAGCACATATCCTAACAAAGGCTTTTTCACTGGGAAGCTGTGCCTGGAGGAAAAGCATAAGGCACTGTAAAAGTTTGTGTGGGTAATTATGTAGAGAGATAACTAAGATAAATAACTAAGATCACTGAAATTATGCCTTTTGTTTACTGCTGCTGCAAAGACAAGTGGAAAACAGGTAGAAGCTCACACCCGCAACAATAGACCACAACATGCAATGAGTGCTGTGCCCATGTTTAACAGCACCAAATGACATCATGTCACACTGTTAATGATGTGCAGAACAACTACCAAGCACTGGGCATGGGCATCAGCAAACAGTGTCAGTGAGAGGCAGAGACCAAGGAGGGGATGAGGATCACCAGCGAAGCCTCAGGAACTCATGTTAGAGGAGCTGCCTGGAGCGTGAGGATGACAACAGGGCAGTGTAGTCACAGGCAGCATTCCAAATCTTGGGTGTGTCTCACCACAGCTGGTTTTACAATGGAAAGAGGCAATTACCAGGCAGGAGTGAGATCACACCCCAACACCTTCACACACAAGCACTCAGTCCTAGATACAAAACGGTAAGTCACCCCTCAAAGCACAATGCTTCCACAGAAATCCCCCTCAGGCTCCACAAAAACAAGAAACACAAACACAACATCTCAACAACTGGGAGAGAGATGCTCTGTAACGATCAAACAAGCAGCATGAAGACTGGATGAGCCAAAGCATGTGAGCAGCTAAAACACCACAGCGTTTCCTGCCTCTCTCCTTCCCGCCTCCAATAAAGCCAAGGAGGACAAAGGAGAGGAGACAGTTTTAGCCTTAGTGAGCCTGAGCCAGCAGCACCTGCAGTGCTGTCATCACGCCACCACTGCAAGGCACGCTCAGAAGTTGTCAGCCATAAGACTGTGTCTGAAAGTCCCAAGGTGGCTTGGGAACAAGGGAAGATCCCAAGCAGAGCCAGGCAGAGGTGAGTCCATCAGAAGCAGCATATGCTCAATGGGGGGCAAAGTATTTTTGTTGCAAGAAATAACACAACTTACTCTCTGAGTTTGCTTCCTACAGCAGAAAAACACCAAAGAGTATTTGCCTCTCCTGGTGTTTCAGCCTTAAGTATTGTTATAGTAGATGCATTAGCCAAATTAAAACATCAGAAGTGCAGACTGATTACTGCTGCTGCTTTTGCTCTGATACAGCCTCTACTCGTCCCTCCCTTCCCTCTGTTTCAGTAGTAATATGGCAACAGAATTTGGCTGTCCTTGCACATCCCTAATTGATCTGAGGAGCTGTTTGGCTACACCAACAGTCTGCTAGGGTTAAATGCTGGTTTTGCTACAGTGTTCAAGCAAGATGAGGTAGATTGGAGTTTGTTAATGAGATGAGATTAAAGTAGAAAAGTCTAACGTACTTAAAAGGTAAGAATCACAAAAAGCTGCTGATAAATGATGTAAGAAACACATTTTCAAGCATTTGAGAAAGCAGTTCATTGGCATGAGAGGTGGTGCTGAGCTGTGTAAAACACAGAGAATTCTGACAGAAAGTTATCACAGAATATAGCTCCTGAGGAGTTCACAGGTGAGACAGAAGTGGCTCTGATGTGCACTGTGGAGACTTTGTAGCATTAATGGATAAACTCAATGTAAAGCTCAATTCCAGGCTGTGGCAGATAACAAGATAGGGCATAATTAATAAAGAAATGAGAATAACATGACAGAGCTTTTAAAGACATCTCCTGCCTTCATTTCAGGTGCTTTGTTGACCCAGGAGGAATACTAAAACAACATATTGCTTATATAAATGACCCCAAATGAGTACTAACACAACATATTGCTTATATAACTCTGAGCTTTAAATGTAATAAACAAATAGAAACATAATGAATATGCATACAAATACATATGTATATGATATATAATAACATATACATATTATATATCTGCCATATAAATAAAATTAATGTGACTACCATAAATATTAACATAGATACAGGTGTAAAAGTTAATGTCAAAGATTGCACTGAAATCATATTTTTTCCTCATCATTAATTAGCAGAACAAGGAAATACTTTTTAAGATGTGCAGTATTTTGAAAACACAGCAGACATCACACTCCAGCTAAGAAAAGATGAGGAAACGCAACATCACTTCTGCAAATATCACAGATTACCCAAAGCTGCTTCAAAGTGACTTGGGCACAGTCAGTTCAGGTAAATATTTGAAAAATGTGACTTTATGAGTAGAAAAACAGCACTAGAAATCTCTGTGAATCTGACTTGAGCAAGAAACAAAGACATGAACACATTATGTGTGTACAGAGTCTGTACTTGAGAGTCAAAGCCTTCAAACTCAACCAAACCCTGTTCCAAATCAGCTTAGCTGCAGAGCTGCATCATACAAAATTGTGTGCTGGTTCTTGTGTCAAACAGATCATGTAAAGAAATGTGGCACAAGCTGTGTCCATCATACATGAAATACTTACTTTTGGGTCTGGGGCCACTTTTTCTGTCTGGGAACTTAATTAATGGAGTATGTGGCTTGACTACCTAGAACAAGGCAAGGCAGGGGGAGAAACAAGGAGTAAAATAACAGGTTAACTTCATAACAACAACATGGGATGTACCAGGTATCAAACATCCACCCTGCACTGCTGCTCTCTGCACCACTACTCTGACACACTCAATACTTCAAGTCCTATGTTTACCCCAGGAGAAATTTCCCTTATAAAAGGTATTTCTGCACTCTGATATCCAGAGCAGGTACAGGTGTTCTCCTCCTTTTCTCACAGCAACATCAGTGTGTGTGCGCGGAAACAGCCACTGCTGTCGCATAAATGCAATCCCAATGCAGCCTGCCCTGCTGACACCACACCTGGAGTGGTGCATCCAGCTCTGGGATTCCAACACAAGGACACGGAGCTGCTGGAGTGAGTCCAGAGCCGGGTCAAAGAGATCATCAGAGGGCTGGAGCACCTCTGCTGTGAGGTCTAGAGGGCAACAAAGGTGATTAGAGGGATGGAACTCCTCTGCTGTTAGGACAGCCTGAAAGACCTGGGGGTGTTCAGCCTGGAGAAGCCTGAGAGAGCTGGGCATGTTCAGTGTGGAGAAGGCTCCAGGGAGACCTTTCAACCCAAAGAGGGCAGGGCTAGGTTAAGATGACAGGGAGCCTACAGGAGAGCTGGAGAGGGACTGTGTACCAGGGCAGCAAGTGAAAGGACAAGGGGGAAAGGCTTTAAGCTAAGCAGGGCAGGGTTAGATTGGATATAAGGAAGAAATTCTTCACTGTGAGGGTGCTGAGGCACTGGCACAGGTTGCCCAGAGAAGCTGTGGCTGCTCTGTCCCTGGAAGTGTTCCAGGCCGGGCTGGTTGGAGCTTGCAGCAACCTGGGATAGTGTAAGGTGTCCCTGCCCAGGGCAGGGG